ATGCAAGGCTGAGCGAGCAGGCTGCTGGTGAGCTACCTGGCACCGTGGCAGTGGGTAGCTGAGCCGCCCGGGCACAGGGCGGGCTGCCGGTGAGACACCCGGCACCATGGCAGTAGGGAGCTGAGCCGCCTGGCACCAGGGTGTGAGTGACCAGATCGTTCCAGAGGTTGAGACGCCAGAGAGAAGCCATCGAGTCTCAGCTTGTGTGTGGCCCTGATGGGAGGCTCAGGCATGGAGGACTGAGGCTGGGAGGGCAGGCCTTGCCAGGGCACACCCCTGCGCAGGGGCTGTTGCCAGTCCTGGGACCCCTGGCCCAGGCCACTCCTGCCCATGAAGGTGTAGTGGGTGAGGGCTGGGGAGCAAGTATGCGGCCGTGGCCTCAGTTTCCCCCCTGAGAAACGGGGACAGGCGCTGCTGGGGACCTGGAGGGCACAGGCGCGGTGGCTGGATGAACAGGAGCCCGCGCGTGGCCCGGCCAGCCTGCGTGCGGCCCAGGCCCGGGTCTGTGGGGTTGGCGATACCAATCGGCGACGCAACAGCTGCCTCCAGGAGGAGGCCTTCGATGGCAGATAGGCCGTGGAGCATTATTCACGAGCCGTCAAGCCCCGGGAACGTCTGGTTGGCATGGGAACAGGAGATAAGGGCACAATTAATGGCATCGCGTTCCCGCCGCCTTTCTTCCCGACTGACCCATTTAAATCCCTGGCGGTGCTGGGTGCCTCGCCGGGGCTGCTGGCCCCTGGGAGGGCCAGCTGGGTGCATGAGATGCGGCCTGGGGCTCAGCTGCGGAGGCTGGGTGCTGCCTCCCCGGGAGCTGCCGAGTAACGTCTCCGGAAGGTGCTGACAGGGACAGGGCTGGGGAGACCCCACAGGCCACGTCATGACGTGGAGCCTGAGGCCTAGCGAGCCCGAGGTGGGCTGTCAGGAGTGCGGCCAGGCCGCCGGGGTCCCCGCTCCACTGTCACTCTTGAGGAAGGGCCCCACTCCTCTGAGCCTCAGGTTCCACGCGGACAGGGCTCCCCAGCAGGGGCTCTTGCCAGTACCATTCCACCTCAGCGATGCGGGTGCCCAGGGCATCTGAGCCGGGCGGAGGCCACGTGGGCACTGCGGACGAGCATGCGGCCCTGGCTCCGGGAGGGCTGGGCGAGCTCCCCTGGCCTCCAACGTCCTCTGCCAAGAGTCGCCAGCCCTGTGACCGTGACCCGGATGGCATAGCACACTGGGTGGTGCCAGAGCCAAGGATGACAGGCTGAGGCTGGCCCCCGGATGGCGGACACTGCCACACTCATTTTTGACAGGGGGAAACTGAGGCTGCAGAAGGGACAGTGCCTGCCCCAGGCAGCCGGGCCCTGTTCCGGGGGCAGGGGCACTGTGAGAGGGCCCGCGGACACCCAGGCGCTCCCTGTTCACAGAGAGGGCAGGGCACCCCACCGTTGCCAGCCTGCACTGCGGCCCTCGGCGCCAGGCTGAGCGTGGCCGGGACTTGGAAGCTGGAGTGAAAGCAGCCACCTCGCAGCTGCTGGTAACGCAGGGTGGAGGGTGTGTCTGAGGAGGGCGGAGGCATGGCCCGGGCTCCCATGGGCACCCGGGGTCTAGGGCCCTCTTGCTGCAGAGGAGCTCCTGCTGCTCCACAAGTCCAGCTGCACCTGCGGGCTCCCGAGAGCACTGACGTGCGCTCTGTCCCACTTCCGGAGGGGAACTGAGGACCAGCCCCAGTACTCACCACCCGGACCTCACTCCTACCCTCCACAGGCTGTCCAGTGCCCATGATCACGGGCCAGGAAGCATCACCCCGCTTTTCAGAGCCCTTTGGCCCTACGGTATAGGGAGTCCCCACCCTGAGGTAGCCCTGGGGCCCTCATCCCCAACCTTTTCCCAGCCCACACTAGCACACAGCAAGTGCCTAGCCTGAGGGACCTGTCCCCACACACGCCCCCCCAACAAGGGGGGGATGGAAACTATTTTCACTCTTTTTTTTTTTTTTTTAAGAAAACTCTGGGCGGGTTACGACTAGGACTTGCCAGGAACTAACAACCCCGACATGATTCAAGGGGGAAAAACATCCTCTCTGCTCCAGGAGGTGACAAACCCGCCTCTGGCTATCTTGAACCATCTCCTAGGGATGGAGGAGGCGGGGTGTCCTCCCCCCAAGGCTGCTCGAAGTCAGTTTTCTTTCATTTTGAAGGGCTGTACCACAGGCCCAGGGAGGATCAACTTCTTGGCAAATAAGTGTGTTTGGGGAGAAACCTTCCCAGACCCAGCGGCAGGAGGCTTGCTCCCCGGCCCCAGGCCCCTGCCGTCCTCCTCATGCCCGGTGCTGTTGTAGCCTGAACCCTGCGGGGCCTGGTGGCCGTTGATAAGGCCTCTTATCGGTCTTGGCGATCGCCATCGGGCCGACCGGTCCGGCGCTTATCAGAGCTCACATCGACCCGGGCCGGAGGAAAGCCCGGCGCGCCGGGGACGCCAGGGGTCCCGAGCTTCGCCCTGCGCTCCCCCGCCAGTGCGCCCCGGCCTATCGCCTATCGTCTCAGCCATCTGGCCGGCCAAGGCCGCGCTCCGCCTCGCCCGCCCCCGCCCAAAGTTTGAAGTTAATAAATGGAAGCGCCTATCGCAGCCACCATCGGTTGCGCACCTTATCAGCGCGGCACATCTATCTCAGCGTGGAACAAAAGGCGCAGAGGCGCGGGCAGCTGCGCCCCGGCTTTGAAGGGGCCAAGGAGGCGGCAGCCTCAAGTGCCTGGCCCCCTCCCCACCGCATCCGTGTCCCGCCGCAGGTGAAGCCAGGGCAGCAGGCGCGCAGCTGCCAGGGCCGCAGCACAGCCGCGGGCAGAGGCGGCGGGCGCCTCCGCTCGGTGACAATCAGCCTTCGCATCTTAACGCGCTGAGATCTGCCAAGGAGGGGAGGCGCCCAGGGCCCAGAGCTGCATGGAGGGTGCCCCGCCTCGCCTTTCTGCCCTGCTCTGGTCCTGGGCACGCTGAGGATGGCAGGGGCCGCCTGTGAGCCCAAGGTCCCCGTCCCCAGCGCTGCTCCAGCCCAGCTGGGCTGGGCTCTAGCTTTGCCACAGTATCAGGCTGGAGATCGTTCCCAACCTGTGACCTCCCTGCCTGTGCTATCTGCATCGCTCATCACTCTGAAATACACACACGGCCAGAACTGAACAGGCGCTCAGAGAAGGGGAAGAGAAACTAAACAAGCCCAGATCGGGACCGTGGGTGTTTTAATACTCGAGTTGACAGACAGAAGGCGACTTTAGGAACATGAGTCCGCTTGAATTTGGAGGAATCAGATTACAGGAACCCAGATTCATGCCTGTGCCCCCTCTCTGGAGACCTTGGGAGTATGGACACTCCCACACTCACGCACATGGGGTCCTGATGGCAGTGACCTGGCGCTGGGACTGGGCAGAGGGCCAGCACCCCCTCGCCTCCCGGGAGGGCCCAGACACTTGCCTATGTGGTGGTGGTGGGGGGGCGCTCTGGGAGGAGGCCCTGGCCTCAGAAGCTAGCAGTTATTGGCCTGCAGTGGGGAGGGGCGCTTCCTGCCCCCTCGCTCCCTCCTCCCCAACCTAGTGGCCCTGAGAGTGCAGCGCTCTTAACAGAAGCCCATTAGCAAGGTAGGGTGGACACTGCCCACCTGCAGACTGGAGAGAAACTTAGATGCATGGGGGTGACCCAGCCCGAAGCCCCCTCCCCGATACAAGGCAGTTCCCTGGATGTTCTGGGTTGGGGTCGAGGGGAGGCATCCCAGGGCACCATGTTCCCGGGGGACCTTGGCCAGGACACTTGGAGGATCCCACTTTCAAGTGTCACCTGCAGGTCGCAGGTCAAGGCTCGGCACCAGGACCTGCGCCTGGGTTGCTGCAGAGCCCCTGGTCCCCAGCTCTCGGCCCCAGGTGCCCCCTCTCTCCCAGGCCTCCCCCCAGATACAAAGCCTGGGAGAGTCAGCCCGAGAGATAAGATCACAATTTCAGCCCGTCCCGACAGAGCGATCTTATCAGGATGGGACTTGCAGAATGGAATATTTTAAACTTTATCTGAGCCCAGATCAGGGCCGCCTTATCGCCGCACCATCTCGGGGAGGGGGGGTTGGCGGAGGAGGGGCAGGCCGCGCGGTGGCGACGCACCCCGGGCCGCGCCCCCAACCACGCTCCTTCCCGCCCTCCCGCCGCCACCCCGTCCTGGGCCGGACCCCCGGTGCCCGGGCCGCGACGCGGGGGCCCCG